AACCAGTTTCCTTTAAACCTATTTATTTCCTCGATATTAATGAGCTGACGACTCCCAAAAAACGTCTGTACAAACCACGTCTTATCCATATAGTTTGTGGAAAACTGTTTTCTCCATCGTTCCAAAAAATTTTGTGATTTGTATTGGTTAACCAAATTGCAGTCCTTCGAGATTTTGTATTCAGCAATTTTTCGAATCCAATTCCAATTTCCTTTAGAATAAAATTTTTATTATTATCAAAGAAACCTTGAACATCAATCGACACAGTATCTTTCAACATTTTTTTAATGTTAAATAACTCGTTGTACTAATCCGTTTAATGGGTTATGTTCAACTAAACGGTCATGTATGAGGAGACAGTAAGCTTGAGTATTTTCATGACTTGGTGTCTTCAGTTCTATTGAAATTCTCACATCAATAGGACAAGTTTCACTGATTCGACCACAATAATAGGGGCCTTCAATTTAAATTCATTTGGGGTCAAAAATGGATGTGATTCACGATTATAGTAACTAGATTGAAATCTTGTATACATTTCATATAGGTGAGCATACTGATTCTTTCTAAAATCAACATTCAGATTATCATATGGATATGACTCAGAATTCAAGTTATCTTTCAAGTTTGATAAATTATTTGTGAAAAGTTCTCCATTGAGTGTAAATCCAATTATGGCAAATCTTGGTTTTTCGCGGTTAGCTGACAATTTCACATTCCAGCTGTGTTGACTCGCGTACCCCAACTTGGGGTTAACATCTGAATCCCAAATCCGGAATGCATTTGGTAGGTTTACACCACTTTTCATAATATCGTACATCTTAATTTTTGAAAAATCGCTCGGAGTTACATGGGGAGTTTTCCAGGTTATGTTCGTCATTTCCACCTTAAAAGTTTGTTCATTTCTGGTTTCTTCAAACACATCACCAAGATTCTTAGTTAGAATCAACACTAGTTCGTGGTTACATTTTAACAAAAGTTTTCATGACTTGGTGTCTTTAATTCTATTGAAATTCTCTCATCAATAGATGACAATAAGACAATAATAGGGGCCTTCACTTTAAAATTATTTGGGGTCAAAATTGATTGTGATTCACAATTTAGTGTAAATCCAATTATTACAAATATTGATTTTTTCGCGGTTAGCCGACAATTTCACATTCCAGCTGTGTTGACTCCCATACCCCAATGTGGGGTTAACATATGTATACCAACTCCGGAATGCGATTGGTAGGTTTACACCACTTATAATAATATCGTAAATCTTAATTTTTGCAAAATCGCTCGGAGTTACATGGGAAATTTTCCACGCAATATTCGTCATTTCCAGCTTAAAAGTTTGTTCATTTCTGATTTGTTCAAACACATCACCAAGATTCTTAGTTAGCATCAACACTAGTTACTGTTTACTTTTTAACAAAACTTTTTTATAATCCTCAGCAAATCCCAAAAAATTTGTTAATGGTACAAAAAAGTTAAAGTGGGGTCCCGTAGAAATTTCGTCTCCACTACTCCATCCGGAATTTAATAGATTTTGACTTTGAAGATTATACAGAGATATATAATTTTTTAGGGTTGTAGTCATACCGACAAATCGTGTTTTATCAATCTTACATCCATTTTTTTCATACAACTATTTTTAAAAAAAGTGGTAGCATTATCATTTGTAGGTCCATTCGATGAATCTTTTCTAATAATTCCTTGAAAATTAAGGTAACTTTCGTTAGGAAGCACGTACAAGTCTTGATTTTGATAGTATTTCGAATTTCATCGTTTGGTTTAAATGTTTGATTATCCGATGAATAAGTATAAACATTTAAAATTTCGTTCATTGTTTTCCTTTCCACCTTTTATATTATACTCGAAGCTTCAATCCTAACGACTTTAAAAATAGTTAATTTTTCAAAGTAAGTGGGCTTCTTTTTACTGATTATTCTCTTTCTATAGCTTTACAATTAGTTATGCTTGGCTGAGGACTTAAGCTACGTCTTTTATTATAAATAATCATTCTAATCATTCATTTTCACCACGTAAATTCACCAAAACACCTTATTTCGTCACAGCTGATTGGTAAATAAGTTAGGTTATGTGGTGTCACTGTTATTTTATACCAAGGCATTGCCAAACTCATGTAACGTATGATTTGTTGTATTATCTACAAATGAACCGCTGAGTATATTACATTCCAAACGAATTGTATTAATTTTTAATATGTTCACAGTCAGATCTGATCGATAGGTTTTTGTAGGATGTGGTTCTAGTACTTTTTGATGGAAACCAAACAGTTGTCCACCCTTACTTTCCTTATTAAAGTAAACTGACTTTCGCATGGTAGTTATTTCAACTTGAAGTGTATTATTATTTTTTTGAACTTTAAATGTATTTTCAAAGTTATAGTCTTTTAGTTTACTGTAAATAAAATCGGTGATATCATTCAACTCATAGGAATTGTAATAGCCTTGTCATCAATATCTGGAATCGAATTATACATATTAAAATCGATAAGAGCGCACTCAATCGACCATTCAATTCGATAGGTGGAAAACAGTTTGTATTTATAATGGAACTATTTCCATTCAAGGATAATGCAAGATCTGACATATTGAAATCTCTTGATAAACTGTGGGACTGAAAGTATCTAACCAAGCTTTATATTGAAATTACTCCTTAAATGATGTTATTTATGTTATCTTGATTTTCACAAGCTACGTCATCGAATATCACAATGGAATTGTTTTTGGCTTCACTGGAGTCTAGAACATCGTCATTGTGGGATAATGTATGATATCCCATTCCTTTAATCGGGTCGATTCTCCAAGTACTCATACTTAGGTTGATACAAGCTTTTTGAAAATATATAAACGTTTTCGAGTTTTAATCCATTCGGACTCTCTATTAAACTTAGCATAATATTAGTTTTACCACAATTCGAAGGCCCAAAAGAGCACTTAGTGTGTTCGGTAAGAGAGCACTATGTCGTGGCGGTAGATTTTTCTCGTTTTCATCGTTAATATTTCTAACTACAATTTTTTGTTTTTGACTTATTAAACGCATCTTTTAATCTTATGTACCTCATTCAATGAGAAATCTTTGATGATTAAACATTACAAATTCATAGTCTATGTTTTTACTTCACATCGAACGTCATCTAGAGGATAAGAATTTTTGATCATTCTTTACAAAAAACTTAACAGCTCATAACAGCTCAAAACATCTGGCGACCAGCTTATGACAACTAGTAAGCAACTAGTTAACAGCTACTAAACAGAAACCATCTAATAACAGCTATTAACCAGCTAAAACAACTAGTAAGCAACTACGAAACAAGTACTGAACAACATCTAAACAGGTAGTAAACATCAAAATACAACTAAATACAACGTGGAACAACGGTACCAAGTCCAAAAACCTCAACAACCATCATGAATCAGGAAAACCAGATTAACATTGCAATTAAAGAGTTCAATAAATTTAATAAAAAGACACTGCTATCGAAGACAAGGATGCCTGAAAATGTAAGATTCCCGATCCTCAAGGCGGAGCGCAAAACACCAAATGTTGGGGAGTCTATTGCTCTCGAGCTAGAGAGCACATCCTGTACATGCCGGAAAGGTACACCTCTATTAAGGATGATATCATCAATGAAATGGTTGATGGAAAATTTAATATTTATAAAAGTAATGACAATTTGTATTTAGAAATAAGTCAGTAATCATTAACAAGATTGAGATTTTAAGAATATAACAATAATTACACCGTATTAAATATAATGAAGAAAATGTATCGAATCTTTTTTATTTGGAAATGGTATATAAATATTACAGATTATGGCGTTCCCTAAACTATATTTGTTTCATAACGGAGGAGTGACTACATGAATTTCGGAAATTTTAAATCTTTCACCTATAAAGTTGGTAAAATATACTACAATGAATATTTTGTCACAGTTAACCAAAGCTAGATTCAAAAATCATACAAATTTATAATTGGAGGAAACTTTTAAACCCATACTGAACCCTTACATTAACTTGCTAAACAAAATAAAAAACAAAAGATTTCTAATGAAAAAGAAGGTATAAAAGTAAAGCATGAATTGATGGAAATTAAAAAATACGATGATGATGAGAGAGAACTTGACGATTTCTACTTTACACTAATGAGAAAGATCTGCAGTCTAATCGGAATATAACTCCACCAAGGCCTTTCGATGATAGTGATTCCTATAATGAATTCTTTTCACAGAAGAATATAGAGGAAGATATAGAAGATGAAAAAATCGAGACGGAAAAGAATGAAGAAGAACACCTTTACCAATGTATACAGGAGAGGCCGATATGGGTGTGTGTTATTACACTAGTTATAATTATGACTTTAATATCAGTAATTTGACCAGAGGAAATGTGTTGGATAAAGGTTATGGATCTACAAAAACAAACAATTCATTAACATTGGGAGATAAAAAATTAAAAATAAACAAGGAAGAACACTATAGTCGAGTACCTCGACTATCAGATACCCGTTACTCACTGATGGGACCAAAGGGAGATGGAGATATGCAAGCAGCAAATCGAGATTGAAATGCGCCACCTACCGGCGGTTAAGACAATGAATTTCAGTTAAAATTTTGTATCTAGCATGAAAATTGTGGGCGCCACAGGCTTGGGAGGCTTGTGGGCGTTAGAGTGGGCGTGGCACTCTGCTGAAACAAACTTGCGCTGCGCAGGAATCTCAGGAATCTGCATGCCTAATCCCAGTATTGTAGCTTGTATAGTTTCCGAGATCTCAGCGTTCATACGGACAGACGGACAGACGGACGGACGGACAGACGGACATGGCTAGATCGACTCGGCTAGTGATCCTGATATATATTCTTGATGAATATATATACTTTATGGGTCGGAAACGCTTCCTTCTGCCTGTTACATACTTTCCGACGAATTTAGTATACTCTTTTACTCTACGAGTAACAGGTATAAAAATAATAAAAAAACATTTTGTAGTGGAATGGGTTGTGATCTGACTCCTTGTCTGTACTCTGTAAGTTCACCCGCAATGCATGTAACATGGTCTTACTGTCAAACAGCTGGGTCTGTTGCCCAACTGAAAACAAATCAATTGGAGAAATTTAAAAAGGAGGAGTCTGCTGGTACACACAGAAATTTAAATAAAAAAAAATGGTATGTTCAACCAATAATTTCATTAATGTTAATTAGTAGTTTAAAGCTTCCTTCTCGTCCCACGGATGCTTCGCCATCTTTCCCGTTCCACCGCAGTACAGCTCCGAGTCCCAATGGGCATATTGGACCTTGACAATGTGGGAGCCGGATTGGGAACGGGGTTGATCCGCTGTTGCTGCAGAAAGTCGACCAGCATCATGGCAATGGCTGCCTATGGCTTCTCCAACTCTTCCTTTGCGTGCGCACTATTTTCCTCCTCCCTATAGAAGCCAGCGGATCCTCCAGCTTCGTATAAGCTGCCAAGAAGCTGGGTTTTAGTTTTAATGGAGAGGTCGTCGGAGATCGTATTACTGGTGGTTCTGCTAAAGGGATACTTCTATTAGTACAACGCTACCAAATTCTTTTGGCCAGATCTTACTATCTTTGCGAAAACGCGCCCTGCAGATGTCCATGTAGAAATCGAAGTCCCACTCGGCATGCTCCTTCCCACTGGGATTCTCTAGTAGATCTCCTCCAGCACTTAAACTTTTTGAATTGATTCCTGTCGGTGAAATACCACAATAAAGCGCATAAGCTTGGATTTGGCGTCCTATTTCATCTGCACTGTAGCGTGTAACGGTTGGATGCTGTGGATGAAATCGGGAATCTGCAGTTGCGGGGCACGCTATTAGGGTCCGGCACTCGCTCGTCGGCTTTGGGGGTGGAGGTCTTGCGCCTACAGATTCGCGTACTAACTACACATTATTATCACTAAGATCAGAAATAAGCGTGCTAGCGACAAGAGAAAATAGTAAACTGAAACCGGAAGAGAACGATAAATAAATTCAGGAATAAGTATTATAGGGACAGAAAAGTTTTGGAGAAAGTTAGCTATGCGAATCCAAGGATGGTATTGTGGTCGCGTATGGCCCTCCCAACCTGTGATCACCACCTTAAAGCATGACTTCGGTGACCCCTTTGATATCCTACGATCGAGAAATCATCGGCTCAGTTCAGTTCAATGTTATTTACAGATCCATGGTTTTATTTCTGTTCGAAAAGCTAATTAATTTTCCGTGGATAGCGATACAAGTCATATTTATTATTTAAAAAAAGGGCATAGGAAGATAATATTCATGTTACAACAATATGTATTTTACTAAATATAAATTTCAGCTTAAAGAAATAGTTTTCGATAGTACTAGCTTGCCTGTATTATTTTTCTCTCTAAAAACTTCTTAAAGGGACTTTCTCTAAAATTTATCAATTCATGTTTTTAGGCAATTAGAGAGTTTAGGAGTTAACAATAGGCGATCGTAATTTATATTCAACTTCTTTTGAAAATCACAAATGAATTCATAGAGAATGCAAATAACTCAAGGTATTTTAATTAATTAATTGTTTTTAGATCGGGGTTTAAGCTTAAATAAGTTTCGTTCACTTTACGGATCGGCGAGAAATGTGAATAAAGTAATATATATATTTGATTAGTTAGTGTGACTCACGGCATATCCTCCAACGTTGAAGATCGATCTCCGGACGGGATGGGTTGGCTGTAATCTAAAGGGTAGCGATATTTCTCGCCATGTAGAATTTAAAGGGCAAATAAACATTTCTTTCATTTCTCTTAGACGCGCAAACGATTTAAACTAAACTTGTAACCCGTTCCTAATTCATCGTACTTCCTTGAATGCTTTACAATAACAAATTTCTCATTTAAACCTAAAAAAAAATCTAGCTCTTCTTAAATTAAATTAATGCTTCTCGGCGTGTATTATCTCTTTTGACCCGAGTGACTGGTTATTTTCTTTCAATTTGTCAAATATAACTATCGCTTTACATGGCGTTGCCACTTGAGGCTTTACGAAAAATTATTGTTTGCTTTATGGCTTGCATATCTTTGATTTCATTGATTTTCTTTTCACATTAATTCTTAAATTCGGGTTTTCAAAGCACGTTGGTTATATAACAGGGTTAGGACTGATCCAGTACGAAAGAGAGTTTTATCTCCATTAAGGTCAAACCCGATTGGCTAGTGTGCCATGCTAGGTTAAGGCCGTTCACACACGCGGCGCTTTTACAACATAACGGGTATAAATTCCTAAATCTGCGGAAACGATATTCCACTCGGAAACCTCACAGACGGCTACGCGCACCCCTTAAAACTCGGCTGGTGTACGGGTGCGGGATGGGCATCGGGACAGGTTATATAATTGAATTAAATTGCCATCTGATCCGCTCTTGGTAAAACTGCACTTCTTGGCCGGCACTACAGGACCCGTAGATAGGGGTACTTCATGGCACTTCAGGGTACTTCAGGCACTAGTCTCTCCAAATCATTCCTCGCGGGCCAACCTGACGATTGGACCCCGAGATTTGATTTTGGTCTTGTTGAGGTGGTAAATCCTCCAGGAAATTGGCCGAATCAATAAGATGCGCCTTTGGCGGCAACTTGTGGCAGCACTGGCTGGGTTTTCCACCCGGAATTTTAAAAAATACCTGTAGTGAAATTTTGTTGGAGGTTAAATACGCACCAATTTCTAAACAAATGCCATTACACTTACATGATCGATTTAGCGTCGCTTGTGACCGGTTGTGTTTATCTTGTGCTCTGTGATTTTTGTCAATTTGTCATTAATATCTGTGTTACTGGTTCCTTGCTTTGTGTCTTAGTCCAACTTAACCAGCCGTGCTTGTGTTTTAAATCGTCTGTTTATGTTTAATTGTCTATTTTATTGTAGCAATTTTAACAAAACCTAACTCTGTTTTTAACCTGTGCATTTTGTTATTGTAACTTCTGTACGCTGCGGTGCATTTGTTTCAATAGCTTTTGTTGTTGTTTCCCATAATCTGTAATCTCTCTCTCTTGTAATCTCTCTCCCGTTTCTTGTCGTCGCAACTGTTGTCGTGTATATTTTGTTTGTGTTTCGCAAGCCACGCTCAGTCGACAGCCACTTTTTCGCGCTCTCTCGCTTTCGCAGTCTCTTCGCGCTCTTATACTTTTGTGTTTTTGTGTGTCTAATTTATATTGTTTGATCCCAGTGTCAAATTAAGTGAGGTATTTATAATTCTTTTGATTCTTTGGCTTTATAAACAACTTTTTTTCTTAAATTTAAATACTTAAAAATGGCTCTTTTTTGTTCCAAGAAAGATTGTCAGTTTGGATCGTCACCTAATGATGTTTTTATTTACTGTCGTCTCTGCAATACAGTCATTCATCCAAAATGTACTGGACTTGTTGGCAGAGTAAAAGATTTTATTGATCTGCGTGTTGGTTTTTCGTGGACTTGTGCCTCTTGCGTTGAAATAGACCGTGATTTGGATGGCTATGTTGCGCTGACCAATGATCGTTTTATGAAACTTTTTGATAAGCCTATAAGCGTAGTTGCTGATTTTAAAGAGTTTAAGGCGGACTTGTGGGGTCACATAAACGCAAAAAGACCGCTCCTTCAAAATCTGCTCCAGTAAAGGCATCAGTTCCAAATCCCAACTTAGCTCCAAATATTTGTACCCGATCGGTAACGGCAGCTATGTCGCATCTACTGGGTCTGTGGTACCTAAAGTTTCACTGACAGCAGTACCCATAGGTACCAAAAGCTCTGGAGGAGTCCTTGTTTCTGCTAGTCAGCCTAAGGGATCAAACCCTATGCAGCTTTCTGTGCCTACTGGTGAAGTTAGCTTTATAGGAGTCCCTAGTCTTGATAATCAGACGAACGATGTTCAGATTGCTAATGGTGGAAGAAAGAGCCTCTCGGTTGTTCCATATAGGAAGCAATTGTTTGTGTCTCGTTTAACACCTGAAACCACATCTGCAGATGTTTTGGAATTTATACAACAGGAATTCCCACCTCAAAACATCACAGTGGAGGAGTTTAAATTTCCATATGTTCGTATGATATCTTCATTTAAAATATCTGCTCCTCCGGAAGTATTTAATGTACTAAATTCTAAAAGTTTTTGGCTTAATGATGAATTGGTCATTAAAGAATTTGTTCCAAACAGACGGAGAACTAATAATAGGCCTTCCACGACTGTACCTGCGCCAAAAAACTGAGCAGTTTATTTTTGGCCTATCAAAATGTTAGGGGACTCAATATGAAGCTACCTAAGCTTTATGCTGACTCCTCTGCCTTTTCTGAAGACATTCTGGCCTTTACTGAGACTTGGCTGAAACCGGAGATATCAGACTCCGAAGTTCTGTCCAAAAATTTTAATACGTATAGAACTGATCGCTCTCCTCTTGGGGGGGTGGGGTGCTGGTTGCCGTTACCTCTACTTTATCATCGGAGAGAATATACTTTCTTAATCCCAATGACATAGAATCCGTTGGTGTTAAAGTATCTTTGAAATCTTTTTCTATTTATGTAACTAGTTCTTATATTCCACCTGGATCTGACTTAACAATTTATGAGCAACATTTGTCTGTTCTATCTCATCTTTCCGAAAGGGATATTTTGATTGTTTTGGGTGATTTCAATCTCCCTGACATATCTTGGACCCCTTCCACTGACTAACTTGTCTCTACCCCTTTATCTGACCATGACTTCGTTGACGGTCTGTTAGAATAATCATTACAGCAACTTAGCTTTATAAGTAATTCACTAAACAGACAATTAAATCTTGTATTTGTTTTAGATCCGTCTGAAGTCACGGTACCTAGAATTGACCCACTAGTTGTGCCAGAAGACCGGTATCATCCCACACTAGAACTTACAATTTGTCTTCCCTGCGTTGATACCCTCTCTCCTTTACTTTTCCAACTAAAAGTAGGTGCTTTCGTAAATGTGACTTTAGTAAACTCAACAACTTGATTTCACAATATAACTGGAAAAATTTATATAATTGCTTGGATATTGAAAGTGATACGGAACTATTTTATAGTGTCCTAAACTCTTTTTTTGTGAATGTATTCCTGATAGTTTTCCTCCTAAGTTAGACCAATCAGTTGCAAAGACTCAGAAACCTAAAAACAAACTTCTATAAAAAGTACAAAAAGTCGGGTAGCCTATCCAATTTTTCAAGATATGGTGTGGCTCGTACTAATTTAATGTACTTAACAGTCATTGCTATTCCATGTGTTTGAACCGATGTAAATTTGAATTTTCAAAGGATCCGAGGCAGTTTTATAACTTTGTCAATGCTAAGCGAAAGTCTTCAGCATTGCCATCATCTGTACTATTAGACTCTATTGAGGCATCGACGGATCCCGAAATTGCAGATTTATTTGGTGAATTCTTCCAATCTACTTATAGTTCTGTTTCTTGGTATAATTCTAGCTACCCTAATCACGTAAGCAGGGCAAATTGTATTTTTTCTCCTGTAATCACCGAACGTTCATCCTTAAGTGATTTAGAAACTATAACGCCAACCTATTCTCCGGGGCCAGATGGACTCTCTGGGGTTAAGTTTTGTGCCCGAACTATTTGTAAACCCATTCTTAAACTTTTTCATTTGTCTATCTCATCATCTGTTTTTCCTACTATCTGGAAAGATTCTTTTATTATTCCACTCCACAAAAAGGGTGCGAAGGTTAATGTTGAGAACTATAGAGGAATCTCCAAATGGTCTGCAATTCTTAAAACATTTGAACGCATTATTACCTCTCAGTTGCAACATTTGTGCTCCCCTTTGATATTAAAGAGGAGCACAAATGTTGCAAATGAGAGGTAATAATGCGTTCAAATGTTTTAGGAGTTGCAGACAATTTAGAGATACCGTGTCAACATGGTTTTGTTAAGCGAAGATCGACCACCACTAACCTGCTCGAATTGACATCTTTTGTAATAGATGAATTAAACTAAAAATTGCGGAAAGACGTTATATATAAAGATTTTATTAAAGCCTTTGACTCTGTAAACCACTCTCTTCTTTTATTCAAATTAGATCAGCTCGGGTTTCCGAATAATCTGTTAACTTGGATTTCAAGTTATTTGAATGGTAGATCTCAGAGGGTTTTAGTCAAAAATGCTGTTTCCAAGATGATCAACGTGATATTTGGAGTGCCTCAGGGCAGTCATTTAGGCCCTTTGCTGTTTTCTCTGTTTATAAATGATCTTTCCTCTATCGTAACTCACTCTCGTGCACTAATGTATGCTGATGATGTTAAGCTTTGTTTTTCATATAATAATATTGAATCTGGTTTCTGCTTGCAGTCAGACATAAATAGATTCCAGGAATGGTGTCAGTACAACCTTTTGAATTTAAACTATCTTAAATGCAACGTTATGACTTTTTATAGGGGTACGCCAACGTTCATGAGTTACTCTCTTCAGAACATGTCCTTGGACCGAATATACTCAGTATACGATTTAGGTGTTCTCCTAGATCCTAAACTTAAATTTGACTCCCACATAACCTCTACTGTAAATAAAGCTATGAGTGTTCTTGGGTTTATAAAGTGTTGGTCTAAAGAATTTGATGATCCATACACTACCAAATTATTATTTACCTCACTTGTCCGACCTCATTTAGAATACTGTTCTTCCGTTTGGAGTCCTCAGTATCAAGTGCACATTGACCGTATAGAGTCCGTACAGAAACAATTTCTTCTTTTTGCCTTACGTGGTTTGAACTGGGATCAAAACGTCAGGTTGCCTTCTTACTCGAGTAGATTGCTATTAATTAATTTGCCTACTCTAGTAAGCCGTAGAATTATGCTTGGTACTATTTTTATGAATAATCTTATCAGAGGCGATATTGATTCTGTAGATTTAGTAAGCCGCCTAAGTTTCAATGTTCCTGTTAGACTAATGCGAAACTACCATCCTATCAACTTGCCTCGATGTTTATCTAATTTTAGTCAGCATGAGCCCTTTCGCGTTCTTTCTAATAATTATAACAACCTATATCATTTAATTTGTTCCTCAACTTCTATCCCTGTACTAAAAACTAAAATCTTAGCTCATTTGCTTTAATCTTGTTGATTTATGTTTTGTCCTGTCTTTATTTGTTCTATGTACCTTCCTCGCGAACCGTATTTGCCCGAAATAAAAATGGGCCCGCGCGTAACAAGCACGTGCTTGGTGTCGTTTGGGCCACTTGTTTGTACTGCTCTTAGTGCATCAACGTTCAACAATATACTTTAAGCTTTATTCGCTGGCTAGCTTTTATAGCTGACAGCCACACTGAGTGCTAAACACCACTTAGAATACTGGATGCCACTCAAAAAATATATATTTCGGACTTTTAGTCTTTTAACTGAAAAATAAAATAAGAAGATCCTAACCGGAATCGGCTGGATACCAGCGAGGCTCTTGGCGGACCCTGTATAGTAGGCTTTCAGGCTGGACCTAGGTTCGCCAGTCGCTACAGACGCCGTTACAAAAACCCCCCCGCTAGAATCAGGCTAGGGTATTTGGCTCTAGATACCCTAGACAGATTACCGCCTGGAGTCGCATCAATGGCGAATATCTTTCGCGTGATAGTTACCCAAGAGTCGACCTTGCAAGTCCTCTAGATCGTAATAAGATCTTCCCAATTTTCTTCGAACTATGGCTTTTACAAATGATGTACCGAACTTGGCGTTTTAGCCGGTCTGAAAACAGCTTTGCTTGAAATTGCGTCGAAATACCTCTTGCCCTTCAGCGTAGAAAACATCTCTCGAGCGCAAATCATAACGCTTTTCGTTCGGACTGTGAGCTTTCTGCATTTGCTTAGTCGCTTCCTCTCGGATTATTTCAAATGAATCTTGCCTTATAAACATCAAGGAACGATCATCTAGCATGTTCAGTCTCCTTAGCAAAGAATAAGTAGAACCGGAAGTT